GCCACCTACTAGTATTAAGGGGAACTCTGCATATTTAGCACAGCTTCAAACCAAGATGGTACACAAAATAGACAGGTATTGATTTTCTTCTAGGATGAAAAACGCTAAAATATATTCTTCTGCACCATTCCAATACACTTGTCTCTCATTTTACCTCCTGTAGCCACTGCTTGCATACCAGCGTGACTCCAATCATTAAAAATAATTAGTGGCTTTTTCTCACACTCAAATTTGCACTCCCAAGCATTGATAACATTTGTCTTGATGCTCTTCAAAGACATCTCACCACAAGTAGATCTAAGTAAATCCACAAAAGAAAGAATGCCAAATAAAGAAACAAGGAATCCTGCACCTTCTGATGCCATTGGGGCTTTGTATATTCAAACATGATTTCCTAGGTAATTTAGAACATTGGTCCCTCACATAATATCAATGGTAAAAGGCAGAGTACTCAACAGTACTGGTTCAAGAGAAAGTCTGCAAGAAGATAACATCATTTTCTGCTTACAAGAAGGTCAGTACATACTCTGAATGCAACACTGGGACTTCTTTTAACCCAAACTCTGAAGGTGCTTTTCCATTCTACAGTGAAGCAGAAGCAACTTTCTTGCAACTGGATTTTTTCATTTCAAAAATGAATAACTAAGTTAAAGTAATATATTGGTACTGAATGAAATTTTGTCATAAAATGAAGAATCACACACTACAAAAAAAAAAGGACTAAATTCAGACATAAGTTTGAGACTACATTAATTGAAAATTAATCTAAATAAAAATACAGCAATTTAAAACTAACAAGAAAAAAAATACTAAAAAGAAAAAGGGGACCTTACAAACTATGCATAGGAAAAGAGTTTCACATATTCTAGTAAAATGGTATGAAGCACATATTTCCTCTCCTGGAGAAAATGTTATTGCTGTCTGGTGCTAAAACATTGTGAGTTGATATCCTCATAGCCAAATAGTTGAGAATTTTGAAGTAATTTTCTTTTCTTAACACACAAAGAAAGTAATATAAAGAGTTTAGGAAAGTTGATACTGGGTACTAGATTCATCCATTCTCCGACATTGACCTCTAGGTGGCACAAAAGAACCTAAACTCAGCAGGTCTTTTCTCATTTTTCAGGTAATGTTATGCCCTCACAATCAGCCTCCTCCAGTATCAATTCCAACATCTCAAAACACGTCTACTAATCTGTACTAAATAAAATTTCAGAATAAATACTCAAATAACAATCACCATAGCTAGGTAGCTCAATTTTACTGCTTTCAATGGTACACTGAAATATAAACCATTAACTGATTTTCCACAGGACCCCTAATTTCCTTTCACCTTCAACTTATAATATTTAAAAGGAAAAATAGGTTTACTAGAAATAAGGATATGGTTTACATTCAGTTTAACGTAAGGATTACTACAGCATCAAAAATACATACCATAAAAACCAATCTGCAATCATAATCCAACAGAAAAAAAATAGTAGTGAGCAAAATACATCCATTACTTAATCTTATTTTAGATGACAGTATGCAAAAAATTAAAGGATCAGTGAAATTGCAGCCAATCAATATTTACTGCAGCAGTAACCAGAAATGCTGCTCTTTTGCTTAAGTGATGTAGTTGTTGGTATGATGGTAAGACCAGCACGTTCTGTGTGACCAGAGAATTTTTATATTAACAGTCCAATATTATACACAGCACAGGAAGTCTCCCAGCAACCCTCAGCCTCTGCACACAAGAATAGCACCACAGAAGCATTTTGTCCCAGTTAAGACACTATGACATTAGACTCAGAGCATTTCTTTTCCTCTACCAAAAACAAACGTGCATGTGTACACGGCTCTTGAATCAATGCCACCATCTACTTCCTTCATCTCCTGTCTTAGCCAAATCATTCACATCTGAGGATCACTCTGATCAAAAGCAAAATCACCTTCCCCTCATAACCCGCTGCAGCTCTCTGCATGCAATTGCCCAGGAGGGACTTTCACTACTCTATCATTCAAAACCTTTCCATCTGAAATGCTTCAACTCTTCCAAGACTGAACATGAAGCTATGCAGAAAATCTGTCAAAGCATCATATGGAAGATCATTTACACCAACATGTGATCACAGAGCATTGCATCATGTGCCCACAAAGAAACAGGAAAGGAATTTCTCTCACCTGGCATAGAAATCTTTTGGTGGAACAACCTCCTGAAAGAACTGTAGCTGGTACAAATAAAGTCCAATCAAGTGTCCCGCACTGAATATAGCCATTAATACACACAGACAGCTGAATATCAGCGGATCAAATGCTTGGCAACAGGACCACCATGTGCACAGGCCCAAAAATACAAAGAAATACACAGCTGAGGTCAAAGATGGCACCATCATACCTGTAAAAATAAAAACATGGAGGATTGGAAAAGTGTGGGAAATATCAGCATTTGATAAACTTTAAGTCTGATGATAAGTAAATTAAAAAATTTAATCCAACTAGTGTTTATGCTAATTATTACAATTACCTCTAAGGACTGCTATTAGCTTTGAGATTAGAAGAAAAATATCTTTTTTGTTGTTGCTGTTCAATTCACTTATACCATACCTTAGAACTTAGAACACAGTCACTTTCCACTTTCATCTGAGATGGAATCTTCTCTTTATAAAGATGTTTCATTAAGCATGGAGAAACAGAAAGGTGGCTGCAAGACCAGCCAATAATGCCTGAGACCACTGGTGTATTAGACTTCAAAATGAATTTTAAGTACAAGATGCTAAAATGGCATGATGGATAGAATAGTGAAAAGCCTTCTCTCAAAAATCTTGATGCATCTTGAGTTACTAAAACCAAATAAGCCCTGGTTCACATACTAGAAGTAAGATATTTAGAGAAGGTCTAGAAAAATCAGTAAATGACGGAATTTTTTATAAATTGTTGACTCTTAGATTCTTGTAATATACATACGGCAAAGACTCTACTGTCTCACCACATGTACATTGTTTGTGGCACATGTAGCCAAGTATTTCACTCGTGAATATCTGACTGGTGAAGGAGACCTAATAGTCTGTGGGTAGCCTACAAAAATAAGGTAGGAAGCAGGAAAGACATACAATTCTAAGAGTGGCAACTATCAGAAAATGACATAAGAGCTTGCAGCCAGCACAGCAGTCCAGTGGATTCTCTAAAGCAAGAGTACCGAAGCTAGCAGGGGTTAAGCTATTTACTAATGCATGTCTAGAAGCCACATTTCCCAGGACAGACCTGCTGTTTCCTGGCAGTCTGTGTCTCCAGTGTGCCTGCTGGCCCTGCAGCTGGGCCAGCCACTCCAGCAGGAAAACTTGCCCCTTCCCAGGTGCTGGGTTGATGTGTCTTGGGGACAGCACTCCCAGGATTGGTCTCTGGTTGAGCTGAGTCCAGGCACTGTTAAGGACTCGAATCCACAGTCATTTGCCTAACCTTCACCATCATGTCTTTCACATGGTACTTTATACCAAGTGTTTAACCTAGGGTGCTGTAAAACTTCAGCTAGCAATTTCCGCCTCAAGCCAGTAACTGTTTCCTTTCTTCTTTCAAAGAGACACTTTGTCTTTATTTAAACACTTTAGGGGGAGGAGAATCCACTATGCCCTAAAACGAGTTGTTTTTCATGACCAGTTACACTGTGAAAACTTCAAAATTTATTTCTGGTCTGAAATTGCCTAGGTTTCCCACTTAACTGTTGGTTACTATTATCATTTCTACTAGATGAGATATCTGTTAAAAACTGATTTGTCAATACTTAAAGGCTGCAGTCAAATCACCCTTCATCTTTTTTTTTCCTTGGCATGGTAAGTAAGGAAGTATTTAACTAATTAAGCTCAAAGCCCCTCTCTGGAATACAGGCTTCTCAGACCTCAAGTCATTTTTGGAACTCTACTCTGAACACTTCCTGGTTCTTGGCATGCATTGGAGCTCCATAGGCAAGCTGCCCATCACCACTCCAGTGAAATTGCCCCCTGCCACTGCCACATGATCCTTCTGCTTCACCCTCCCTGGATGATATTCACCCACTCAGAGTGGCATCAGATTTTTGGCTTTTGTTTCGGTTTTCCTAATCACATCTCTCTTTCCTGATGTCAGGCCTCATGGCAAGCCACATATTTTTTTACCCTTTTTATATTTATTACTCTGCATTTAGCTACATGTAAGGCTGTTAGATAATCTTACCTTAATGAAAGAGCCTGCCTTACCAAAAGGGCCATATGTGACCAGTCCTCATCATTCAGTGTCAGACCTTTTTTTGTACTGCTGTTTTACAGTTCATATACTGGCATACTCAGATGTTAAGTATACAGCTGTACTTATACTTCACATGTAAAGACTCTGTTCAAACATGTGAGTAGGCAGATAAATGCTACTTTACAATTCCATGATCCAATTTCCAATTCAGTAATTACAGCCTACAGTGATTTCCTACACTTCCATTCTAGCTGTAGCTGATTATGTGGTACTAAATCAAATGTCAGATAAAAAGGTTGGTTTTGTCATATCAAGACAGCTACTTTTACCAACTACATAAAAAAACAACAGGAAGTTTGCTTATCACTCTTTTTACACATGATATCGTCAATTGAATAATCTTTTCTTTTTTTTTTAACGGGCTATGTGAACACAATTTCTTTTTACCCTTGGAAGAGATGGAAGCAAATCTATGAATTCACATTATAATACATACACAACATATAGTTACTTATAATAAGTCCCCATTCACCATTTGGTTATAACAGCAACTGTGAAAGTCATAAATGGAACGACAGGGCCACACAATATTAGTACAAAAAATTAAGCAACTCAGCATATTCCAATACCTGCCAAAAAGTTAATTTAAATAAAATCAGCAGCAATTTCTTTTCCCTTTAAAATTTCCATTGTTACTCCCACAGGTGCCAAAGTGCCGAAAACTCATTTGTTAAATGCATAATCTAATGGGCTCCTGAGGACATAAATGGAACGACAGGGCCACACAATATTAGTACAAAAAATTAAGCAACTCAGCATATTCCAATACCTGCCAAAAAGTTAATTTAAATAAAATCAGCAGCAATTTCTTTTCCCTTTAAAATTTCCATTGTTACTCCCACAGGTGCCAAAGTGCCGAAAACTCATTTGTTAAATGCATAATCTAATGGGCTCCTGAGGAAATTTTTCAAACAACCTGCTGATTTAAAATTGTAACAACAACTTTTCCAGTGGTGATTATCATGTTGCCAATAAACTCCCTCATTTTGGATGCTATGGAGGCAATTCTACGCAGCAATTTTAATTTCATGGTTTCCTCAAATTCTGCTTCTCCACAGTCTTCGTCATCCAAATCTTCTTCATACATCAAAGAGTCATCTGGCTCTAATTTTTCTCGTACAGCCTAAAGGAGAAGGAGGGAAAGAAAAACAGAATGCAAAAAAACAGAAAGAGGGAGACACAAAGGAATTTGAAATTAAAAAACCACGCATATATTATTCAACAATGAAGTCTTCTCACAATCTTTGACTATGCCAAGTAGTGAGAGCTAAGAAAGATATACTAATGCTAGAGTTGTACACTGATGGCTTCCACTTCAGATCTGTCTCAAAATAAAAGAAGGTTAAAGGTTGCCTCTGAGAAAGGCTGCAGTCCTCCAACATGTGCAGAACAGGATGTTTGTTCAGTTTTATTTGAAATTTGCTTTGGTTTGGTCAGCATTCTTAGGAAATAAGCATCTTGCTATCTCTTATCTGTGAAAATCCTCTGCTTATAATCTCCAGCAAGACCAAGTCCATTCCTGGTTGATGTTGCTCAACAAACTGACTTTTCAAACCCCTTCCCATGAACCCTTTCTCAAACTTTAAATGAAAAACCTAGAATGGAGTGAGTAGGAGTGATCTGGGACAGGGAAACAAGGACTGAAATAAATGGACAGCTCATTGGTGACTGAAGGGCCATTTGAGAGAGAAAAAATACACTAAGCAGAGGCTTAGGGAGAGAAGGAGAAATGGTGAGATTGACTGATGGTGAAAGAAAAGGTGAAAAAGTGAGCAAGCGAGAAGTAGCGAAAACTTGAGTGCTCTCCAACAATTTAGCAGAGGAAATGAGACCAGTGGCTTAGAACTACACAATGGAAAAAAGAAAAGAAGGAAAAGTGTAAAGATCCCTCATACTTGAGTAGTTTGTTAGGACTTGGCAGTGGTCTTCACCATCAAGTCTCCATCGTATCTTGGAGACCAGAAGACATACAGACTAAATCATCAACCCATGTTGAGAATCTGCAGGATTAGTAAGAGGCCCACACAAAGATACAACTGATGGAAAAATTAGTCATTCACAGAGATGTAGGGACATATTAAAAGAGAAAAAAGTAATAGTTTTGAGCCAGGTTCTCATTTGGTGCAATACAGAATAGGTTATTTGGCACTAATCTAAACTTGCATTAGCTAACACTCTGGCCAAGCAGTATCTCTATGTGTGAAAGTAAGAAAGAGAGACTGTTGGTATTTTTCATCAGAATAGCAGTTTTATATTTATTGGTGACCTTTGGCAGAAAAAAATTCACACCAATGGATCAGATTGCAGTAGGAGCAGATGAACTCTCAGCCTACTTAACCAAACTCTTCTCTACCATTATGTTATGTGGATTCCCAAAGGAGCAAAATACCTTGTGGATGTCTTTGTTTCACCTCTAAGCTTGTTGCCAGCTTTCTCTTACTTTGGAGCATTAACACTGTTGTGAGTGCCCAGGAGAAAAAAATAAAAGCCTGCTTGCTCTCAAGAGTCTCTATTTTACAGACAATGAAATATGGCCAGGCTGATCTGGGAAATCTACCTTTCTCTTGGGTGTATCCAGCTGTTTTACTAGCTATACCCATCTTAAATGGAGTATACGACAGTTTCAATTGCTTTCTTATTGTCACCATTCACAGCTCTCAACATATGAATTATTAGAGCCTTGCACAAAAGAACAGACAGGAGATTGTAGCCCAAACATTGTAGCCATCGTATTTTAAGACATGAGGCACAAAGAAGCATTTTCTCTGTTCACCACTGCTGCTCACATCTGAGCTCCTGTTTAAAGGATAAGAGCTTTCCTATCTAAAGGATAGAAAATATTAAATATTCAGAAAACCATGCTGACAGTAGGGTGAGCAATACATTTTGCCCTTACTTCCGCCACAATGGCTTCAGTGAGAAAGTTAAACAAAGGGCAAAAGTTATAATCATGTCTGCTTGTGTTGTAATTACTAGATTAACCTGCTCCTCATCTAGTCCCTTTGGGTCTAATCCTGCCCCTTGTGGACTGGCTATAGTGCCCTGAGCTTAACATGAACAGTGAAATCTTCAGTTCGTATCCAAACAAAGAGAATGAGTGAGAGTGATGGACATTTAAAGTTTATGAAATGGCAAACATGCTATACATGGGCCTATGTGGAGACCCTTGTTTCTTCACCTAGTGCTTTCAGTTTGCTGAATATAATATGCATTAAAATGTGGAATTACTTACAAAATATACAGGAATCATTTCAAAATAAACAAGTTCTTTCATGAGAGGCTGTCAAGATTCACATCTCTATAAATACTATGAATCTATTTGAACATGAAGTCAGGATTCGTATATTTATTACACCTTAAAATTACTGATAGAGCACTTAATTATACATAGGCAGGAACAGGAAATTGGAGTCTGAAGAGTCACAAAAGAAAATAATAAAATCTTTCATAAGCAGAAGCAGAAAATATTTTTATGCGGTAAATGAACATAAAAATATTTTAAGTATAAATTGCAGGAAAACACACAATACCTTCAAACAATAAAATAAAAAGGAGGACACAGAAGTAAAAAAACCACATAAAAACAACCCAATGAAAGGTGGGACTTAATATCCTCTTCTCTCTCTACCTGCCTTCCTAACCTCAGGTGATCAATGTCCAATTTCACACTTTGATCTCCTCAAAATGGGTCTTTCTATCATGATAATTAGAACTGTAATTTTTTAACTTTACCAGGCTAATCACTTTTGCTTCATTGATCTGAAGAACATTTAGCTTACATTTTGCCTTAAGGATTGAGTACTAATAATCTAGTACTGACACGTATGACACAGCACACCCATGAAGAAGCACTAGGGAAGAGGATATTTCACTGGATCAGGATATAACTGAAGCTGAGAAGGAGATTACAGTCCAGAATTTCCACGGACTGAGGCTTATACAATTCAAGCATAGCTAAAAGATTTCAAATTGATGAGTTACCAAAGAAGCTAACTTTCATTGTTTTTCCACTTTATAGCTAGATATGAAAACATGAATTCCAAGTTCAACAAGAAAAGTTAGGACATTACAAACACTCACAGGAAGTGCAGAACAATCTACTTCTGGTGTTGCTAAAAACTTCAGCATTCTGAACCTTGGCATATAGCAAACTGATTTCCCAAATTTTCCTTCTAAAACTGCAGAAGTTCTTCAACTGCTCTCCTCATTTTAAGATTAGCTAGCAAATGGGCTCATCAACAACAACCATAATCTGCAGTCCCAGAAGCTCTTTCAGAACAGATGCATGATGTTTTGCAACTTTTCAGCACAGCCAGAATTACCAATGATATGGCTGTGCAAGGATCGTCTGGTTTCAGATACGAAGGCTTTGCATCAGCATGGTCCCTGTAAGAGGTGGGTTAGATTCCTCATCAATTTTTTCCCTGTCTGCAAGTTCATTGAATACTATAGTCCTTACCCTTTATATTCTGTGTCATTCATGACCCAGTTGATGATGATTTCAACAAAAATATTGCGACAGTTAAACAACTACAGAGTTGATATTTTTGTGTGTATAAAAACCTATCTGTTTGTAATTCAGTACCCTAGATGAAAGGCCATGTTCCTTTCCTGAAGTAGCTGAAAGACCATGCTCTAGTGTATGTCAAAAAGACAAACTTTGGATTCCACCACTCTCATATTCACTGCCCGCCAACTGGATTATCTGGGCTGGCTTTCCAGTTTCTCACATTGAGCACTTCAAATTGCTGAAGGCAGGCAAACAGTGAATGGTTTTTACATCCAACATGGTGATAATGTGCTTGTTGTTTTAACACTTTCTGATGATTAAATAGCCATACAAGTACATGCTCATCACAGAACACCATTACTCCAGTCAGACTGTTTTGCAAAGCTCTTTTTACTATGTGGATTAGTCTAAAGCTACAAACTCATGCTACATAGGCTACAGTTAGAAAAATACTTTTACTTCCATAATAAATTACCTATTATGCAATTACAGGATCCCTGTGGATGCTGATTAAATCAAATAAACTTCTACATTCAAGGAGTACAGAGCATTTGTGAAGCCATAAACATGTGTTTCCATGACCTTTGCTCTGTAGAGCAGGGCCCCAGGACTTTTTATAAACAAACTAAATGCAGTTTAGGTTTTTCAGCAATCACGTGGAAGTCCCGGGAGTATTTATTGTACAACACTTTTTTAAACTGCCAAATTGAGATAGAGAACAGGCAGCGAAACAGTACAGCTCCTGTGGCAGCTATGGCAGCTACTATTGTGGCCAGGGCCAGAATGTCCATTAGCTACTTTGGGGGCTGCTTTTTCAACATCCAACTTTTAAATGTTTCATCTGGTACAGTATAAACACTACTGCATAGAGATATTCTCTAGTCCCAGAGATGTATTTACTAACAGGAAGCCTTAACTCCAACCTAAAACCCATTCTTGCTTCAGAACACTGTGTACCTACATTTAGTGGTATTGTGTCTCTAAACACAAATTTGCTCATTTATTGACTTTTCGATGCTAGAGGGGACATGAACGAGACCTTTCAAAAATTCAAATAATGACAGTAACAAAATTTGACTAACCAGAACTATTACAACTAAGAATATTCAAGTCTCAGAACGGATACAACTCCCATCCCTGCGAATGCATTGCATTAATTATCAGCACCTTTTAAGTATGCACTGCTAAGCTTACAAGAATAAGTTCTCATGAGAGTTCAGGTGCTTCTTCCTCACAGTTGGATCTTAAATGGTGCAAAAATCGCCTCTTTGTAGTATTTTGACATTTCTTCCCAGCTAGAACCACAAAACAAAGAGAAAGGAATGTGTAAAAGAAAGCTAAGCCTGAGAAAAACATGTAGTTATGTAAAGTTCACCAAACCTTACCCAAACAGCTACATGTACACAGGTTTGGAAGCAGGGCAGAGTCATACTCAGTGGAACACCATGTTCTTTATTGCTGGTGATTCCAGAGAGGTGCTTTCATGATCTAGATTAGCTTGAAGGTGCATAGTCTGTCTTGCAGAAAAGACAGGTGTGCCCACTTTGCAAGGGAATGAGAGCAAGCAGGTCACAATGCAAAGCTCACGGTCTGACCTTCTTCTGACAATGTTA